CCGGGATCTCATCCGGGACTCCGAACAACATTAAGTAACCATGTATATCTATTCCTTATAACCCTAGCGTCATCGAACCTTAAGTGTGTAGACCCTACGGGTTTGGGAGACATGCAGACATGACCGAGACGTTCTCCGGTCAATAACCAACAGCGGGATCTGGATACCCATGTTGGCTCCCACATGTTCCACGATGATCTCATCGGATGAACCACGATGTTGAGGATTCAATCAATCCCGTATTCAATTCCCTTCATCTACTGGTATATTACTTGCCCGAGATTCGATCGTCGGTATCCCGATACCTTGTTCAATCTCGTTACCGGCAAGTCTCTTTACTCGTTCCGTAACACATCATCCCGTGATCAACTCCTTGGCCACATTGTCCACATTATGATGATGTCCTACCGAGTGGGCCCAGAGATACCTCTCCGTTTACACGGAGTGACAAATCCCAGTCTCGATTTGTGCCAACCCAACAGACACTTTCGGAGATACCTGTAGTGTACCTTTATAGGCACCCAGTTACGTTGTGACGTTTGGCACACCCAAAGTATTCCTACGGTATCCGGGTGTTGCACAATCTCATGGTCTAAGGAAATGATACTTGACATTAGAAAAGCTTTAGCATACGAACTACACGATCTTTGTGCTAGGCTTAGGATTGGGTCTTGTCCATCACATCATTCTCCTAATGATGTGATCTCGTCATCAGCGACATCCAATGTCCATGGTCAGGAAACCATAACCATCTATTGATCAACGAGCTAGTCAACTAGAGGCTTACTAGGGACATGGTGTTGTCTATGTATCCACACATGTATCTAAGTTTCCTATCAATACAATTCTAGCATGGATAATAAACGGTTATCATGAACAAGGAAATATAATAATAACTAATTTATTATTGCCTCTAGGGCATATTTCCAACAGAGGGGACCACCAACCTTTTATCTCATGCCACAACCTACTACAAGGATCTGTTTGGCCCTGCTAGAGGAAATCTCTTTCACTTATCCCCTAATATGTAGGCTGAAAATGAAAAACTCGCTGATGATGACAACATTCTCCTCACCGGTAAATTCACAGAAGAAGTGAAAAAAGCTCTTTTTGGCATGAATAGCAATCGAGCTCCTGGCTCGGATAACATACCAGTGGAGTTTTATAAACACTGCTGGGACTTTGTTAAAAACGATATTATGCGCTTGTTTGATCCTTTTCACGACAACACTTTAGATGTTGCTCGCCTGAATTATGGGGTGATCACCCTTATCCCCAAAATGAATGGAGCTAAGAAAATCCAGCAATATAGACCGATTTGCCTTCTCCGTTGCCCATACAAACTTATCACTAAAGTTTTGGACAACAGAGTGGCTATTTTCGATGATATGCTCATCAGCAAACATCAAAATGCCTTCATAAAGCATAGAAACATTATGGATGGCATTTTGACCCTGCATGAAATTCTTCACCACACGCAGTGAAAAAAAGGGTTTGTGTGGTGTTGAAACTAGACTTCGAAAAAGCCTACGATAAAATCAATTGGGATTTCCTCCTTGAGTGTCATAGGAACAGGGGTTTTGGCCCTGTGTGGTGTGGCTGGGTCCAGAAAATCCTTAATAATGGGAATGTTAGCATTAAGTTGAATAATGAAAAAGGTCCGTATTTCCAGAGTTACAAAGGGGTGCGGCAAGGGGACCCGTACTCACCTTTTTTGTTCAATATGGCTGTGGAAGCCATATAAAAATGATCCTTAATGCTCAAAAAGAAAAAAAATGATGTCAGGTCTGGCCCCGGACCTGATTAATGGGGGTGTGGCTATCCTTCAGTATGCAGACGATACTGTCATTTGCTTTGAGCATGACAAAGAAGCTGCGGTCAATCTAAAACTCTTGCTATATATTTTTGAGCTCATTTCCGGGCTTAAAATAAATTTCCTGAAGAGCGAAATCTTATGTATAGGGGGAAATGATGACATACTAACTTTCTACTCTGAACTCTTCAATTGCCAGATCAGGCACTTCCCTATGAAATACTTAGGGGTGCCTGTGAGCCATTCCACTCTCCGTGCTTTAGACTGGAGCTTTGTTAATGATAAATTCCTCAGGTGTTGTGAATCCTGGATTGGTAATGCGGCGTCTTCAGGGGGAGGCTGATCCTAGTCAACTCTTCCCTTACTAGTATCATCTTCTACTACATGTCTATGTTTATGCTTCCCAAGAAGATTATTGAAAAATTAGATAAGCATAGGAAAAAGTTCTTTTGGCAAGAGACTGATGGTCGTAGAAGATATCACTTGGTCAAGTGGTCTAGAATCTGTAGATCTAAGAACAAAGGAGGATTAGGAGTTAAAGATCTACATAAACAGAATATTAGTCTCCTCACCAAGTGGTGGTGGAAACTGGAAACTCAACAAGGCCTTTGGCAGGACGTGATCCGTGCTAAATATTTCAGAAATGATACGGTACCCTCGGTGAAAAATAAATTTGGGGATTCCCCCATTTGGAAAGCTATTATGAAAGTAAAGGAGGTATACTTGGCAGGAAGAAAAGTGATTTTGAATTCTGGGAATGGGGCCAGAGTATGGAATGACCCTATCAGGGGTGATGCTCTTTTGCGAGACCAATTTCCGGCCTTATTCAGCATATGCAATTATCAGGAAATCACTATTGCTGAGTTTAGAAACTTCGAGGGCAATGATCTCTTTAGAAGAAACCTACATCCTCCTCTTACGGATCCGTTCTTGTTAGGGTGGTTAACTCCTGGCATTTATCTGGTGAATCGGATAAGATTAGCTGGACTGTGGGGAAAAAAGTAAGTTCTCGACCAAATAGGTCTACACCTATTTGGAAAGACACCTGGCTGGGTGTGATTACAGGTGGATCTGGAAAGCTAAGATTCCTCTCAAAATCCAAATATTTATTTGGCAATTGTTTCAAGACGCGATTCTGACGCAAGAAGTCATGAAGAGGCGAAATTGGGCAGGCAATCCTAGATGCTCGTTCTGCAAAGATGTTGAAACTTCGCAACATCTTTTTTCACCTGTCATGTTGCTCGGGTGGTTTGGAGGACGGTTGGGTGTGTGTTGGGCACATCTCTTTGCCCGAACAATATCTGGCAGTATTTCTCCTGGTGTTACATATTCCTTCCTGATGGGGCTAAGTTTTATACCTTTGGTTTGGCAGCCGTTTGCTGGGCAATCTGGAACTGTCGCAACCAGGCTACTTTTGAACAAAAAATGCTTAAGACTCCATTTAATGTGGTGTATGCTGCTTGTGGTTTTTTGATATACTGGGCAGGTTTGCTGGCTGGTGATGATCGGGAGGCCATGGAGCACGGAGCCAAGATGCTCAGGTCCAATGTTTCGACAATGATGAGAATCTGTGCGGCTCCAACCAAATCAGCGATGGACTGATACTCTCTCCGATGCTACGGTTTTACTTTTGCCAGGATAGTTGTCTCACTCCTGCACGAGTGTCTTCCTGCTCGTTTGTGAGCCTTGGAGATTATGAACTGTTGCGGGTTTCCTTTTGGTTTCAGCCTTCATGTTTAGGTCCTAGAGGCTAGCGTGATCGATGGTGTCGCTGAGTTTTCGCCCCACAGTGGGCTGCTCGATGACGAGTGCCCATGGTGGGTTTCCCGGTGATGCTTTGGACTCGCCTTCCCCTATCTAGTTTCCTGGTGCCGGTTTGATGTTGGGTCTATGGTCACTGAACTATGTATTTCCGTTATGAATGTAATGGAAAGGGGTTAAGGCCCGGTTCAAAAAAAAACTCGGGTGTAGTACACTCAAGAGTAGCCAGTAATTTCAGTTTTTGGAGGTGTCTCTGTTTCGGCTTCAGTTTTTCATGTTGTCATTTGTAAGTGCAATGGTTAGCTTCATGCCTCCTCCGGCATGACATTCCAAGCAAGCAAGCAAGCCAGCCGCTAGCTCTGTGTGTGTGGTGCGGACATGCGCACACACATAAGAGACAGCGCCATGCCCATGCCCTGAAACAAGCTACCAAGAGCAGAGCAGAGCAGAGGAAACAGAGTACCCTGAACCTGAAAATCCTAAAAGCGGCCAGAAGGCTTCCTCTTCTCGGCATAAGTCGATCGGCACAACACCTTGCTCGGCCTATGTGTGTGACAAGGGGACTTGCTAAGAGCAGAGCACAGGAGCACATAGGAGAATTGTTTCAGCACAAATACAGCTGATCACAGTATCATTTTGGAGATTTGTATTTGCACCATCTTTCATATCAATATCATATACACTATATAAAGCACGAGCTACTATAGTCATCCAGCTTAGTACATACAAATGGAGATGTGGTCATTCAGATTGGAACACATCAAAATTTTGTTCCATGATACTTCACCTCAAAACGTCAAGAGTATCACAGCGTGCTGTTTCATAACGAAAACTGACGAATAATAACACATAGCAGATATATGAATGAGTTCCATGCTGGATCTGCTCTGTTCAGAGCACAGTAATTCAACAAAACTTATTTTGGAACAAAGGGAAAGAGAAATCAAGTGTTCAGCAAAAAAATGTCCATGAATGCAAATGGAGCTTAGGTCCCAACAAATGCATGTAGCTACTGGGAACAGAATATAAGTGAATTAACAACAACAGCGTAGGTATTGCCGCAAAAAAAAAAACAGCGTAGGTATTCAGAAGACTACAAGTTCCGACAGGGTAACACAGTGATAGAGTGTATGTAGCACAGTTGAGAGAGACTTGAGACCACCATTTTTAGGAGGTACGTAGCTCTGTTTCAGCTTCAGTTTTTCATGTTGTCACCTGAACCTTCCAAGCAAGCAACCTCCAGCCGCACAATATATCCTGGACATCAAAAGGAAAACATCAGCACATGTGAATTTTAGAAATCCAGAAGCAGCTCGGGATATAGATGTATTTCGGTGGGGAAAATTAAAATGTGACGATGTTTTCTAAAAGAGAAAGGGTGGATGATTAGAATATGTATCGGTACCTCTTGCAGGTTGTGAGCACTTTAATCCTCATCAGCGATACCATCTTCCTTGCTCTTCTCCTTGTCTCTACCACTGGTATCTTCATTGTCCTCTCCCTCTGGTTCATATGAAATAGTAGCTGCAGGATGGTTGGGATTGGCATCTGCTTCTTTCCTGAACGCAGCAGCTGCAGCCTTGCTTTCTGAAGGTGTCGCTCCTTGGTTATCAAGCCATATGTGAGCTCGTTTCAGACAATGGAGATGCTCAATGCCTGAATAGAAACCATTAGCTTTTGCGGCCGACACACTGAATGGCATGCTAAGTTCCTCAAGCTTGGGCGCAGACCCTTTCACGAATGAAACATATACTTGGTCTGTTTTTCTGGAGTAAATCACCTTCAGGTTTCGGAAAGAAGTGGCTTGGACTGTGACAACAAACTTCCTTGATGGCCATAGTTTCAGGCGGAGTAAGGATGGGAGTTGCCCAAGAGTAAGCAGCCCATCTTGCGTCAATTCAGTAAAGCTGATTTCCAGATCGGCAAGGTTGGTGAGTGCTGGTGTAATCCACTTTGGAAAATCCGTGAGCGAATCAGGGTAGGGCGCCGAAAACCTTTGAAGAGAATATGGCAGAGGGGACCAAGAATCTAAGAAGTCGAGGGAACGACGTAACCCTTTTATATCCAAAGAATGGAGTTTGCAGGTGCCAAGCTTGGACAGTGAGGAGAGGAACGCCTCCTTTTCACATCTCTTGTCCGAGCCAAATACATTCATACCAAGATCCACATCGAGTTCCTCCAAACTTGTGAGGTTCCCGAGATCCTCCAACACATCTGTTTCTTGCGAGGTAATAGTAAATCTTGGCATCAACTGTAAGTTCCTCATGCCCCCAATCCCATTTGGTAGCTTGTCCAGACAACCAATTAGGTCTCGTAGTGTAGTTAGCCGAGTAATTCCTGCAGGCAACTCTGTCACAGATGTATTCTCAACATCCAGCGTCTCTAGATTATTTAGCTTGACGATCGCTGATGGCAGATTTGATATACATGTGTCCCTAAAGCTGAGGTACTTTATCTGGAATAATTTGTCCATGCCTTCTATATCACAGTCATTTAGATCCTCACAACCTTCAAAATCCAGAACACGTAAAGCTTCAAACCGATCAAGACTGGGCAAGTGTTTTATGCAACATGATGGCATTACTATCAAAGTTCGAACATGGCTGAGATCTACATTTGCCAGTTCAGATGCAAGTTTCTTGTCAATGTGCTGGATTGATAGCCGCCGAATAGAACCTTGATGATTGGGCAAACTAGTTTGACCGCCACCTACCACGGTGGTAAAATTATCTTCAGCTGATTTTGAAATAATAATTTCGAGCATCATATCATGGACTCGGCATGCCTGGACCTTTCCATCATACTTAATGCCCACCGGTTGGACCATACTTTTATTGATCAGCTCATAGAAGTAATTCTCGGCGACCTCTTGCTTGCTCTGTCCATGCTCTTCAGAGATGAAGCCTTCTGCTATCCATCGCCTCACTAGCCTATCTCTGTAAATCAGATGGTCTTCGGGAAACAAACTTAGATACAGCAAGCAAGTCTTGAGATGAGGCGCAAGATCATTGTAGCTAAGGGATAGTATGCTACTCATGCCCTCTAGACTGTTAGTTTTCTCCAGTGCAGTACCAATTGACCTCTTAACCTTCTCCCATTCTTCCTTGATGGCTGGTCGGTTTGCTAGCAAACCAGATATGCTGATAATTGCCAATGGTAGGCCTCCACATTTCTTTAAAATTTTATTAGAAACTTCCTTCAACATTTCAGGGCAATCTTCCTCAGAGCCAAATAATCTTTTGAAAAATAATCTTCTAGAGTGGAGATCACTTAGGGCTTTCAATTTATACACACGGTCATCAGCACTCAGACAACATGACTTTGCTACGTCAATGATGCGTGTAGTAGCTATAATTCTACTAGAACAATTATTCTCTGGAAAAGCACACTTGATAGCGTGCCATGCTTTTGTAGACCATACATCATCGATGATGATGAGATACCTACAAAATTAGTAGATGATGTCAAGTCGTCAACCAACTATGGTAAGGGATTCTGCTAGAAAACTCAAACATGCCATGAAACAGCTTCATGCATTTAACTGGAGTAGTTAATAATTGTTTATGACGCTTATTGCTTATGTTTCCATACACAATATGTAGCATGTTAACTTTCTTATAATTTTAACTATGACTATAACTCATTTCTAGTTTCCAGATCAAAAACACGAAAATATATGTTACATTTTATTTGAAAGTATGATTATTTGAGTCTATATAAAATGATTATTAGAAAGTATGAACTTATACCATGAAACTCCAACATTGCATATGATTTAGGTACGCAATGACTTAATTAAGTGTATATAGTACGGTTATTGCATAAGTTTACATATGCATTTTTATCGTGCATATGTACCATGACCACTTGTTTGAAGTTTTAACTAATTGAATTCATATCTATTTACTTGATTCTCACAGGGAATTTGCTTTACAATTGTGAACATATTTAAAAAATCTTCAATTTAGTATATATGAAAACAAAAAGCAATATAGTAATTGCATTGTTACATTGAGATGTAAGCTAGCTGGAGTCGGGATTGGTTTGCACCCATATAGCTGGGATTGCATGTAGTAACTAGTTCTTACAAAACATTAATATGATAATGAAATATATCAACTCGTACAATATACAAATAATTTAGCAGTTAATTTCTTGAAAGCTGGACTTGGGAATATTTTTTTTGAACCATGCAGGAGAGTTGCGTGCAATTCAGTACACTACCTATAAATATTTTCATGATTACATATATATATATATATATATATATATATATATATATATATATATATATATATATATATATATATATATATATCATGTTCCAAGCATCTTTTAGCTGGTACATCATTTTTGTTTTAGTGTGAGGTGTAATGATGCTTGTAATTACGCAATCTGACCTTAATCAAGTTGTTTTTCTTTGAATCGAAATAATGACAGTACACTTCAAATAAAAAGTGGCTGAAATATTGAGAACCATGGATGGCACATCCTTTAACAGGAATAATAAAGGTCGATGTTACCTTTTATTTTGTAGCAGTTCTCTTAGCTTGGCAATGGACTTCTTTTCATCCCAATCACTAGTATCTTTTGTGGATCCATCTTCACATGGCACTTGAGATATTACATCCTTGATAATTTTCTTTACATCTGGTTTTTGTGAGACTGACACAAAAGCCTTACAATGGAAATTCCCTTCAATCTTGCGACATACCTCATTCGCTAGTGTTGTCTTTCCCAATCCACCAAACCCGACAATTGACAAAACCTTGCATCCTTTGGACAAGTTATTTGCTTCCAATATCCACTTGGCAAGATCATCTCTTGGACCATCCACCCCCACAAGGTGTGCCTCATCAGCAAAAATTGCATGCAGCCGGGGATCCACGACTGGAGGGCCAGCGATGCTAGAAGGAGCATAATCCAACTTGTAACTATCCTTGAGATCTTTCACTTGCTTGATGCGATCTTTCAGATCGTCAATTTGGTCAGCGATTCCGCGACGAGACCCAAGTGTCTTGAGACGACGAGCGGTCTTGCGGAAGAACTCCTTGAAACCACCATGATGGCTTCCGCTGCCAAGCTGGTGGATGAACTTGTCGAAGATATCCTCGGTATCGTAGGCCAACTCCCTGACCAGCGATATCCATGTCTTCACTTGGTCATTTTGGTCTTCTAGCTTGGTGTACTCCTTCAGGGCAGCATGCATGCTCGCGAGCTCCGACCTGAGGGAGCGGATCTCACGGCGGACCCCTTTCAGCCGAGCACACTTGTCGGCGAGCAAGGTGGCGAGCTTCCCCAGCAGGGGAGCAAACGCGCCATGCGAGGCGCTCACGACCTCCATTGATCTCTCTACTCTTTGTATCTGCACTGCGTCAATCTCTTGTGGGTGTTGTTGGTGTCTTTTGAACTTTGGAGTGGTAGAGAGAATAGCTCAGACAAGGGCAGCTAGTTAGCAGGAAAATGAAGATGAGCAAGCTTGAGATTTGTTTGGCTCAGCTAATTAACGATGGAAGGCACATGAATGATCACGCGCTAGCATGTGCATCCGCATCGAAAGAGGTGAGCTAGTGTTTGGTGCAAGCGAATTAAGATCAGCTCGTGTCAGGCGAAAACACGGAGGGAGCCTCGGTATGCAGCATAGTTTACGCACGTTAACAGAACCAAAGCAGCAAAAGATACCTTCAACAATGCACCTTGAACGGCGACTTGTACAGCAGCATCACTAGAACTACTCCAGCTAGATTTCTAGCAAAGGTATCAGTTCAAACTGCAGCATTTTTCAGCACTCCAGATAGATTTCCCGCAGAAAAATTATGAAGTTCCGATTTTTGAAAAGCGTGGCTCACTGCCCCCATCCATCGATGCCCTCTGTTGGCTGTCCCCGCACTGCATACCAAGAGGACCTAGCTAGCCAGCTACTCTAATTGCAAGCTTTGGTTAGCTCACCTAACGATGGCTCAGTGATAATATTTTACTTACGGGGAGTTGTGAATTAGCATGTGCATCAAGTGTCAGCTAATTGTTAAAATTAACGTATGCTTTCAGACCTCGGATTCCAGCAGGGAGAGCAGTAACATATTCAAGTTAGTAAAACCAAGCATCTTGCCGGCCACTTGTACGTTTGAAGCCTGGAAATGTTGCCAGTTAACTACTGGTCCCGTTCTACATCCATCAGAACTTATTCAGGTTAATAAAAAACAAGCATCTTGCCGTCCATCTTAAGGCTGAAACGGTGGGCAAATAGGAGTATTACATCCATGGATCAAACTTGGACATAGTGCGAATTAATCAAGGACAATATATATGGCTGCTTTACTATTTCAGAAAAGGATTGGGTTCCAATCGACAAGGTCGGCAGGGGCGGAGCTGGGCCCCGGGCACCCAGGGCCCAGGCCCGGGGCGTGGAAAAATTAAGAGGCTATAGTTATAGATTTTTTTTGCAGGCCCGGGCGTAGCCCAGTGAAAAAGAAGAAGGCCCAAAGGCTTGGTGGACTGCTTTGCCAGAAACGCACGCACATATGCAACAACACACCCCACGATCCAGCACGCACGAGGCACTGGAGACGAAACGATCGCGCGGCCGCCGCCGCCCGCCGAGTCGCACGCACTAGGGCGGCACAATCGATCTCCAGGAGCAGCAGGGACACCAGCGCCCGCGCCGCCGTTCGCCGTGGCTCCGCCCCCGGCACACGCCGCACACCCAGATTCTGCTCCCGGGCTGTAGGTCGCCCGTCGCAGCCTTCCTGTTCGTCGTTCTCCTGCGTGGCACTGCTTCATTGCCGGCTGCGGTAGCTTCTAATTTTCTTTGATGCTTTCCGTGTTTCCCCCTTGATGCTTTCTACTTGTACCATGTTGTGTTTGCATGAGTTGTATCAGTGTACAAGCTGCTCTAAACTAAAATGTATGCCATGTTCTTTTGTATCCAGTCATATATGTATGATATTCACTGGTAGAAAAAGGGCCTGTTGTCTCGGTTCGTAAGGGCTTTTTGTCCCGGTTCTGAAACCGGAACTAAAGGCCTCTTTTCAGCAGCCCAAAGGGCGGGAAGCGGCTGCCTTTGGTCCCGGTTGGTGGCACCAACCGGGACTAAAGGAGGGCATTGGTCACGGTTGGTGCCACGATGTTTATAAGGTGCCCAAATGTTTAGTCCCACCTCGCTAGTTGAGAGAGAGCCGCACCTGTTTATAAGGTGCGGTGCGCCTTCCCTCTCGAGCTCCTCTCTAAAGCAGGCTTTCGGGCCTAACCGTGCACTCTGTGCCTGTGGGCCTACTGGGCCTCTCGCGGGCCTGAATCCTGGCCCATGGTAGGGTTTCTAGTCGTATTTAGGCCGTGGGTGCCCAGTAGGTGGCACTTTTTTTGCTTTTTTGTTTCTACTTACAACAAAATACTTATTGTTGCTATATTTATTTATTTTCCAGTTTTTTGTTTTGTTTTCTGCATTATTTATTTTCTTTTATTTTTTGCTTTATTTTTTAATTCTTTTTGCTTTTAGTTTTAGAAAAATTATAAACTTTCTGTTAGTGCCATTAGTTTTCAAATTTGAAAACACTTTTTTTGTTTTTTTGTTTTCTTTGTTGCTTTATTTATTTTATTTAGTTTCTACTTACAACAAAATACTTATTGTTGCTATTTTTATTTTTTTCTATTTTTTTGTTTTGTTTTTTGTATTATTTATTTTCTTTTGTTTTTTGCTTTATTTTTTAATTCTTTTTGCTTTTAGGTCAGCAAAATTATAAACTTTCTGTTGCTTTATTTATTTTATTTTGTTTCTACTTACAACAAAATACTTATTGTTGCTATTTTTTCTAGTTTTTTTGTTTTGTTTTCTGCATTATTTATTTTCTTTTGTTTTTCGCTTTATTTTTTTATTCTTTTTGCTTTTAGTTTTAGAAAAATTATAAACTTTCTGTTAGTGCCATTATAAACTTTTTGCTTTTAATTTGAATTCTTTGAAAATTGTTTGAATCACAAGTTTGTGATTAACTTACTAAAAAAATGAGAATAGATGCGCTTATAGAGAAAATTCAACCTAAATTCCTAGTAAATTTCTATGAATTTCAGAGAAATTCACTATGAATTTAGGTCAAACTTTTCTCTATTAGGGCATCTATTTTCACTTTGAGAGGAGCTCAACAAGGCAGAGAGGAAAGGGCTTATAAACCGGTGTGAGCCCCCTTCGGTTGGCAAGGTGGGACTAAACTCTGCCCGCAACGAGGACCAACCCTTTAATCCCGGTTTGTGGCACAAACCGGGACTAATGGTCATGGGCCAGGGATGAGGAGCAAAATTATAAACTTTCTGTTAGTGCCATTAGTTTTAGAAAGTTGAAAGTTGGCATGGGCCAGGGACTAATGGTCATGGTATTACGAGGGCCGAACCATAAGACATGAAAGCATTTCAAATGAACTCTGAAAAAGTTGAAAGTTGGCATGGTATCATAATTTCACCCACATAGCATGTGCATGTACAAAACGGACAATGGTAGCATGTTCATGTGTTACAAAGTTGGCATGGTATCATCATAATAGTTGCGGGAGAAAGTCTTCACTTTTTCTTCGCTTGTGTCATTTGCTTATTGCGCCGTAATCATGGATAATCTTCATTGTTTATCAGGATGCTTGGGTCAGCCTTGACATTGAAGGGAGAAATTTCATGAAACTTTTCATAATCTTCAGACATGTCTGTCTTGCCGTCCACTCCCAGGATGTCCCTTTTTCCTGAAAGAACTATGTGGCGCTTTGGCTCATCGTATGATGTATTCGCTTCCTTATATTTTCTTTTTCTTGGTTTGGTAGACATGTCCTTCACATAGATAACCTGTGCCACATCCTTGGCTAGGACGAACGGTTCGTCAGTGTACCCAAGATTTTTCAGATCCACTGTTGTCATTCCATACTGTGGGTCTACCTTTACCCCGCCGCCTAACAGATTGACCCATTTGCACTTAAACAAAGGGACCTTAAAATCAGGTCCGTAGTCAAGTTCCCATATGTCCACTATGTAACCATAATATGTGTCCTTTCCGCTCTCAGTTGCTGCATCAAAGCGGACACCGCTGTTTTGGTTGGTGATCTTTTGATCTTGGGCGATCGTGTAAAATGTATTCCCATTTATCTCGTATCCTTTGTAAGTCAATACAGTCAAAGATGGTCCCCTGGACAACAAGTACAACTCATCACAAACAGTGTTGTCACCTCTGAGACGTGTTTCCAACCAACTGCTGAAAGTCCTGATGTGTTCACATGTAATCTAGTCGTCGCACTGCTCCGGGTGTTTGGAGCGCAGACTGTTCTTGTGTTCATCGACATACGGGGTCACCGAGGTAGAGTTCTGTAGAACTGTGTAGTTTGCTTGAGACCAAGAATATCCGTCCCTGCATATTATTGAGTCTCTTCCAAGAGTGCCTTTTCCAATCAGTCTCCCCTCATACCGCGATTTAGGGAGACCTATCTTCTTAAGGCCAGGAATGAAGTCAACACAAAACCCGATAACATCCTCTGTTTGATGGCCCATGGAGATGCTTCCTTCTGGCCTAGCGCGGTTACGAACATATTTCTTTAGGACTCCCATGAACCTCTCAAAGGGGAACATATTGTGTAGAAATACGGGCCCCAGGATGACAATCTCGTCGACTAGATGAACTAGGACGTGCGTCATGATATTGAAGAAGGATGGTGGGAACACCAGCTCGAAACTGACAAGACATTGCGCCACATCACTCCTTAGCCTTGGTACGATTTCTGGATCGATCACCTTTTGAGAGATTGCATTGAGGAATGCACATAGCTTCACAATGGCTAATCGGACGTTTTCCGGTAGAAGCCCCCTCAATGCAACCGGAAGCAATTGCGTCATAATCACGTGGCAGTCATGAGACTTTAGGTTCTGAAACTTTTTCTCTGGCATATTTATTATTCCCTTTATATTCGACGAGAAGCCAGTCGTGACCTTCATACTGAGCAGGCATTCAAAGAAGATTTCTTTCTCTTCTTTCGTAAGAGCGTAGCTGGCAGGACCTTTATACTGCTTCGGAGGCATGCCGTCTTTTTCGTGCAAACGTTGCAGGTCCTCCCGTGCCTCAGGTGTATCTTTTGTCTTCCCATACACGCCCAAGAAGCCTAGCAGGTTCACGCAAAGGTTCTTCGTCACGTGCATCACGTCGATTGAGGAGCGGACCTCTAGGTCTTTCCAGTAGGGTAGGTCCCAAAATATAGATTTCTTCTTCCACATGGGTGCGTGTCCCTCAGCGTCATTCGGAACAGCTAGTCCACCGGGACCCTTTCCAAAGATTACATAGTGTAAATCATTGACCATAGCAAGCACGTGATCACCGGTGCGCAT